AAATGAAGCATGCTAAATGTAATTAAGTCAAATTGTTGATGGGGGAATGACCAAAAATTGCATGTGATTATGAGATGTTGAATGGGAGGGGGGTGAGAACTGGGTTTTTTTAAAAAAGGAAATTGATGAGAATAGAGGTAATGATTAATCTGTAATTGTAGCGACTAATAGTGTCCAATGGTAGAAGGACACAAGAGGGAAGTGATTGGGAAAGAGAAAAGATAGTTATATAGGTGCATATTTTGTGACAAAGGTCTGGGCATGTGCTGTAAATATGTGAAAAGCATTTGCTGTGAGTATATTAAAAATGGATGAAAATAGATAAACAGAAAGGGGAAGGTAAGAGATGAGAATTACAAAATTTGTAAATTAATAAAATTATTTTATTGGTAAGAAATGTTTCGGTCCATTAAGTCGTATAGATTTCTTGCCTTTCTGGCCCGTTTTATTGATGTTATTGATATGTTCCTGCATTTTGGGTGCAAAAATTTTGATGAAAACTTGCATGTCTTCGTGCATATAATTACTTGTCCCCTGTTGTATTGTTTATTAGCATCTTTTTTTTGTTCAGACATGATAAGCAGATCGATGGGACCGGAATTTGGTGGGGCGATTGGCTTACTGTTCTACACGGCTAATGTATTTTCATGCGCCCTGTATGTTTCTGGATTTACGGAAGCACTACTGAGCAATATCGGTGAAGAGAGTAAGCTTTTTTTTTCGTTGGAAAATTCGAATAACTGTTGTTTCATCGTTGCGTTTCCTCACGCCATTGATGCAACTGGCAGTTTTTCCATTCTTTTCTGTTTTGGGCTTCTCTCATGCACATAATTCCAGTTAATCAGTTAGACAAATTTTTCGCTGCATTTGCGCCTTGTATTTTTTTGACGTTGCATAAAAGTAATTCGCTTTGTCGATTTTTTCAACTTTCTAGCTTTTCTCGTTCCCGAGTTAGTAATTTCCCCGCCAAAATTCTCACGCGCCCGCACGTGAGCTCTGGGCGCTTCTGAGGAGCTGACATTTCACGTTCATGACCAGCCCAATCCTTTTTTTTGGCTTACACCAAGCCGAAATCGCAACACTTCATTGGAAATGTACTGCAAATTGCTGACACCTACCATGCGTCGTTCCTTGACTTGTAAATTCGCCTTACAGTTTTGTCTATCAAAATATAGCAGTTTTAGAAAAAATTTTACTAAATTTTTTTGTTTTTGAAACATGTTTTTTTAATGTTTATTTCCTTAAGAAATCGTGAGCCAGTTAAGATCACTATTTTCCTGTAAAACATGAAAGAACTCAAAAAATAGTGATTTTGGTTTAGAATAGTGATAAACGTATTTTTTTAATGCGTATCTTCATAAGAATCGTGAACCAGATAAAAATGCTGTTTTTTAGTAGAACATGAAAAAGCTTGAAAAAATATTGATTTTGATTCAGAATGTGTAGTAAATTGTGTTTTAAAAATAGTGATTTACGTTTGTGATTTTACTAAATTTTTTTGTTTTTGCGACATATCTTTAAAAGCTTATTTTCCTAAAAAATCGTGAGCAAGATAAAAGTACTATTTTTCGCTTAATTATGAAGAAATTCAAAAGAATCGTGATTTTGATTTAGTATATTGGTAAATATAGTGATTGTGCTTTAAAAATAATGATTAGTTTTGAAAAAATAGTGATTTACGTTTTAAAATAATGAAAAATTTAAAATGAAAATAATGATTTTTTTAAAATAATGATAGTGATTTTTTTGCAGGTTTGCCATCGAGTGCAAGTTGGAAATTTCTGTGCTGCGTTCTCGTCTCCGTAGTATTGCTTTTGCTATGTCTTCTTGGTGCAGGACTATTTGCAAAAACGGCATTGATCACATTTATTGTTATCACTGTTTGCTATGTGACATTTCTTGTATCAGTATTTTTTGTTGCTCCATTCGATGTAGCAATACCAAAAACCAACGAATTTGCGTATTTGGTACGCCTCTATTAGCCAAATTTTTTATCCCTTTTAATCTATTTAGTTTAACTTTATACTTTTCCCATCATATTAATCAGTTAAGCGTTTTTGTATTACTACTCACCTTCTGTAACACCTTTTCACTTTTAACATGCACTGTGCAATTAATTTAACTTTAATTTCTGCTAAATTCAGTTATCAAAACCGTTGTAGTGATGAGATCCAGTTGTGGTAATGGTAAGAAATGTATACAACTTAATGGACCGAAACATTTCTTACCAATTATAAGAATTTCACAAGTTTTCTAATTTTCATTTCTCATATTCCTTTTTATTTCATTCTTTCGTATTATAACTTTCTATTAACTTGCTTGATCCTGTTGGCTTGGTACTTTGAACCAATCCACTGATTTTGGATATTTTTTTGTGTTTTGGATGCAAAAAGCACAAAATCGTGGTCGATGAAAAGTTGCCCTTGCTGCATAGATGAAAATCTGTACTGAATAACCGGCTTTTTTAGGGGCCTAAATATGATAGGTATTTTAAGGTTTGGCCATATCTCACCCTGATCCATCGAGGATCCATGCAAAAATGATTTCGGTAATTATAACATATATTTTTAGGTACCATCGAATGCTTCGGATCCGTCATCGGAAAAAGTGCCAGATTTCAATCAGAATCTAACAGCTCGTTATACAGGTTTCAGGTGAATGATTTCAGCTGTCCATTAGAGGCTTGAGCTGTTTTTGTCTTCACAATTCAGATTTAGATGAGTGTTTTTGCCGAAGTTGGCAAGAATGGCGCAGTGGCAAATAGTGCTGCCTTCATGACGAATTTCGAGATTTCGACTCCATCAGTGGGATAACCAATCCTTTTAAGGGGG